GGGTGGGCTTTAAGGTCCCTTCCCACCCAAACCGTTCTGTCATTCTGTGGCGTGGGCTCCCTGTGCTGCGCTGGTGCCTGGAGCTGCCTGCTCAAGCTGCATTACTGCCCTCACCCAAGGCACGGCTGTCTCCATGCTGCCCTGATGCACCCATAGCAATGGGGCAGCGGAGTCCTGCTCCATCCCACGCCGCAGCCCAGCCAAGATCCCGCTTGCATCCTGCCTCGAGCACTGCGATCGACTGAGCCCAGGCACCAGGGATGGATGAAGCTTTTAGCAAACACAGCAGCTGCCTTTGCAGAGCACCCAAGAGTGTTGCGAGGGAGCAGCGAGTGAGCAGCACGCTCGGCAGCCGCCCTCATGAATATTTTAGCTTGGAGAATTAACATTTGTCAAGAAGCATCTATGGAGACAGCATGGATGTCTCTTCCTCAGGCACTGCAGGCTGGATTATGTTCTCAGGCGATGCTGGGAGCCAGGGCAGAGCCAGCCGGCACCTGAACCCTTCCCTTGCAGCGTTGGGGTGGAGTGGGATGGTAGATCTCCCCCCCGGGGACGGCCGGGCTCCGATGCCAAGGCAACGAGCCCGCCATGAGAGATAGACAAATGGCTGTGTTTTTGTCTTTTTTTTCTTTCCCCTCCTGGCTCTTGGCAGAAAGTAAAATGTCCCTTTTGTTTGGTTTCCTCCTCCCCCTGCCCCATAGCCTTTCTTTAAAGGTTGTGTTCCAGATTTCATTAACCCACGTTGTGTAATAGCCCTGGAGAACGGCGTGGGCATTGGCCGTGTCCCACTGAGGCCGTGGCAGGGCCACTTCTTGGGAGCTTGACCGCAGGGTTACCTGCTCAGAAAACATCTTGCATACACTTGCTGAGCACAGCTCCCTTGTATTTTGGATCGTGCTCCTCCGATGCACACGTGCTAAAAATGATAGAGAAGGTACTTGGAGAGAATTTGGTAATTTTTGTATCTAAATAATCTTGTATTTCTACCTCAGCTCTGCAAAACCGTATAGAAATGAGGAACAACTGCAGATAAACTTGACTTACACGTGAGTTCATTGCCCATGGAGCATACAGCGTTGTGCATCCTCCTGCCACAGCACCCAGGTCTCCCCAGTAACACCCCACTTGGGATTTCTTCCTTCAGGCTTGTAAGGGATTCCCCATTCTTTCTTTCCCTCCTTTCCACTGTCTGAGGCAGGGGATGCTAGAGTTGCTGGGCTCTGCATCCTGAGAGCGTCCATCTGATGGTCCCTGCATCTTGTCCGGAGGCTGCTGGGGTTGTGCACGTGGAGAGCACGGTGTGACTGAGACAACTGGGGTTGTTCAGCCTGGAGAAGGGAAGGCTCCGGGGAGACCTTATAGCACCTTCCAGTGCCTGGGGGGGCTACAGGAAAGCTGTGGGAGACTTTTTACAAGGATAGGGAGTGACAGGACAAGGAGTAATGGGTGTAAATGGAAAGAGGGGAGATTGAGATGGGACATCAGGAAGGAATTCTTCCCGGAGAGGGTGGGGAGGCACTGGGACAGGTTGTCCAGAGAAGCTGTGGATGCCCCATCCCTGGGAGTGTCCAAGGCCAGGCTGGATGAGGCTTGGCGCAACCTGATCTAGTGGAAGGTGTCCCTGCCCATGGCAGGGGGTGGCACTGGATGGATTTTAAGGTCCCTTCCAACCCAAACCAGTCTGCGATTTGATGACTCGTGTCCTGGGCACCCAGGAAGGGAGAGGAGGCGGAGGGTAGCATACTATAGGCTTTGTGTAGTATGGAGAGGGACGCTGCAAGCACGTGTGTGTGTAAATATGGATCTGTCATACCAAAGGGAAACAGCAAGGCGATTGTTTCTTGGCTCTGGTTCCTCTGCTGATACTGGCAGTGCGGAGAGCTGTAGCTCTCGTGCGGGGTGTTGCTGCCTTCCACGTGCCGAGGGGTGGGGGGCTGCTCTGCTCGCCAGGCTGGTGGCACCGGGAGATCTGCCACTCATCATGGTGCCCATAATGGTCTTCTCTGTTTGTGCGCCCTGCTGTGCTTCCACTCCTCCCCCCCCCCGTTAAAAGACACATCCAGGCATCCGATCCAGTCGCAGGGTGGCTGTGTGCTCTGTCCCATTGACAGCAGCATGGGAAATGGCAAAGGCAGGGCCAGCACCTGGGGACAGGGCTGTCCCCAGCAGCAGGAGCCAGAGCTGGGCCTGAGCATGCGCTCCTGCCTCACCGGGACACGAAGCCTCCCCGGGGTGCAACGCTGGGTTCGAGCTTGTATCAAAGCATCTGCTTTTCTAAGGGCTGGTTGAAGTCCTCGCCTTGTTATTGTTTTGGCGTCTCTGCCGTCTAACACCTCCCTGCTTTTGCATTTATTTATTCCCTTCCCATGGCCAGAGCCGTGCAGTCCTCACCTGGCCTGGGACCAGCTCTGCTCGTCCCTCCCCGAGGATCCCCAGCCCTGAGACCCCCTCCCCAGCGCAGAAACAGATGCTCAGAGATGGGGAAGGGGTCCGTGTGTCCTCATTCCCTGCTGCAGAGCCTTTGCCATCTCCCCTGCTCCCACACCACCGCCCTGCAGCATCGGCACGCGAGGGCTGTCCCTGTTCTCCTGGTTCCTCCGGGAGAGGAACAGTGTGCCATCGCCAGCTCCTCCTCCGGGGATCCTGTTTCGAGGTGCTGCCGGGGTTCAGCGCTGCCCGAGCCCCATCCTTTCCTCGGCAGAGGTTGCGTGTGTGCGCGCGCGTTTCCACCCGGCACCATTTGCATCTCGCTTCGCTTCCGAGTGCCTGCACTGCCTCCAAGGGAGGAAATAAATGGTGTAAAGGAATTTACATCCCCAGCGAGTGAGGCTTCTGGTCCGTCCGGTTTCATCTGCTGCCGAGAGGTGTGGGGGTGCAGGGGGGCTGCTGTGGGGTGGGGGACAGGGACCCACGCGTCGGGCTGTGCGAGATGCCAGCCTTCATCCTTGCAAGGAGGGGTGCGTGGCAAAACCACTTCACAGGACCAGCCTGTGAAGGCGGTGTGGGGGCCCCAAACTGGCTCCTCCGCTCCGGGCGTGCTCAGGTCGAGGCTGGGTGTGAGCAGCGGGTGAAGCCGCCCTGAACGCTGCCGTAGGGTTCAGGAGGGAGGAGAGAAGGTAGGTTTCGCAGGGAGCTGCCTCCTCTTCTCCAACTGTGCCAGCTCCCTGCCAAATCCCTGCAGGACCTCCCAGGGAGTCGCGGGGTGCTTGTGGCAAGAGGGACCGAGTGGCCCAGGGTCCCCATGAGGGACTGGGACTCCTTCCTGGAGCCACCCTCATCCACTTTTTCCCTCATCCTGGTTGCGTTCCCTGGTGCAAAAATGCTCTGGGTGGGGAATAGGGTCAGACAGAGACCTTACAGTCCTGGAGACCTTGGCTGTGCCGAAGGTCAGCAAGACAAAAACGTTTTTAGGACTCCACATGGAGCAGGAGAAAGTTTTTCCATTGGATTTTTATAGCTCCCGGAAAGTGGGGTTTTATTTTTGTTGTCTAAGACAAAAAATCCTCTTAGGAGCCGACTACCCGCGGCGGTGCAGGGCGAGCGGCTGTGCATGCACCGTGCCAGGAGTCTGGGCTCGGCTTTGCTTTCCCTCCCTCCGTCACACGAGGCCTGTGGATGCTGATTTCCACGGGGTTTTGGTGTCCCTGAGGTACAATCGGTCCTGTTCACGTCCCCGTGCTGGGCCCTGGTGCTGCAGCACCCGTGATGGCTCCATGCCGCCCCTGGGCTGTCGTAGGCTGCTGCCACCCAGGGACACAGCTGCAGGGAAAGCCCTTTTCCTGGGGAAGGGGGCTCTTTCCCACGGCCTGCAGATGGGTGAACCGGGGGCCTGGGGTGGGTGATCTGAATTTCCCGAGGTCACAGGCTGGGGCCACTGAACTCTCCCCAGTCACCATTTCTCTGCATGGCGCAGGCTGCTTTTGGGGGGGCTTTAGTGGCAGGGGGGGGGGAAGCTGGTTTCCGTGGTAAAAACCTTAATAGCATCTGCCAAAAATTTGTCTCCCCCTTGGCTCAACCATCTGGAGGGCACAAGGAGGCTTTGGTACGGTGAGGAGGTGGCCATGGGTTGCTTTTGGTGCTCCTTTGGTGCTGTTGGTAACTTGGAGGGGTCCCTCTGCTTGGTCATTTATGCCCCAAGTGCAGGTTCGTGCTGGGATGCTGGGGGGGGGTCCCCAGTGTCACTGGGCCTGGTGGGACACAGACAGGCTGGGGATGGGAGAGACATGGCATCACTGCTCGGGTGGGGAGAGCTGCGGGCACCATGCACTGGGAGCGGATGGCCACACTGTAATCGGATGAACCAGCACTGCTCCAGATGGACCTGTCAGCTCTCGTCAGCGCTGACACCGCTCTGGGTCCCTCCGTGTCCCCTCTGGGCCAGGGGGACAGTGATTGTCTCACTCTGCTGTGTCTGTTTGGAGCAAGGGGCTTGGAAGGTGACACTGTGTTTACAAAGCCCGTCAGACAAACAAGGTCCCTTCCACGCTGCAGTCCCTCGCTGCTCATTCCATGTTTTGTTAGCTTTAATGGGAAAAACCTGGCATGTCTGTCTGTCTGTCTATAGTGTCCTGCGCTGCAGGCACGGGGGCCTGGCTGCTTTGCCACCCCCTGTCTCCAGGTTCTACCCCACCACCCCATATGGTTTGCAGCTGCAAACCCAAAGCCAGTCACTCAGTGCCTTGCCTTGGTGTCCCTGTGCTGCAGCGGGATAGCCATCTTCCCATGGGCATTTGGAATAGGACAAGCATCTTGCTGGCAGCAGTGGGCTGGACTGGGCTGGACTGAACTGGCAGAATCGTGCCTGCTGTCCCCAGATGTGCAGCACAGGGCTTTGGCATGTGCTGGCACAGCGCATGGATGGGTCTGGGTACTTACTTGTGGTCAGAGCATCTTGGTGTGTGGGATCCTGGTGTCTACCAGGAGAGAGTTTAGGGCTCAACTCTGCCCATATCTGATCTTCCCTCCTTCAACGTCGCTCCTTTTTCCTTCCCCTCGCAGCCGACAACCCTCCCGCAGGGCACCATCAACATGAACCAGTGCACAGATGTGGTGGACGGGGAGAGCCGGACAGGGCAGAAATTCTCCTTGTGCATCCTGACGCCGGAGAAGGAGCACTTCATCCGGGCTGAGAACAAGGAGATCATCAGCGGGTGAGTGCAGATCCAGGGCAGAGCTGTCATGGGGCTCTTCCCTTAGCCGGGAGGAAGAGGAGGGCGGGTAGGACCTTGCCGAAGGCTGGGTGCTGTGGCAGTGTGCACCCAGGCTGGTCCCTGAGTGACGATCACAGCCTGCTGCAGGGGCAATCCTGGGGACCAGCTGGAGCTGCTGCCTTGCAGTCAGCTTCTGTCTTCCCCACCTTTTTGGCAAGGATAGGGTTTCTCTCCCCTTCCCCGCTCCCTCCCGGCGGGCAGGCTGGCAGAGGGGGTGGATGCTGCCCACTCTCCTAGTCCCAGTGGAGCATCTGACCTCGGAGGACGATTAAAACATCACTGCTCATAGGAGGGCCTGCTGCTGGGATGCAGTTGCTCAGCAACGCTGAAGATTAGGGCCCTAAACTGAGGAAATCATGGTAGATGTCCTGACTGGAGGTGTTGGACAATGACTGGCGAGCATCCTTGTCCATCACTCATGTGCCGGCGTGTGTAGCAGCCGGCACCAGTGAGGGTGCAGAGCTGCGGGAGAGCTGAGCCGTCGGCACGCAGCAGTGGCCTGTAACGGTGCTGCTGCTCGCCTGCCAGCGTGTCCCACGTGGGATGTCCAGAGCTCGGAGCCTCCCTCCCAGTATTTGTTGACATTTGAAACTAGAGCAGAAAGTGGAAGGGATAAAGCACTGCTCTCTCCCACTCTTCCCAAAGCACAGCACCTCCTGCTTGCCCAAGCCCTGACATCAGCAGTCAGTGCTTTCTGTTGGGATAATTGCTATTTCCAAGCATTTCCCTTGGTTGTGACTCCCCCCCATTTTGGTCAACACTGGTTGGAATAGGAATTTTTCTGCTCAGACCTTGGGATTTTGGACAGATACATATTTTCATGCATTGCAACTTCTCTGCCCTACTGAGACACGTGAGGGTGGGTGATTCCCCCTCCGTGCGGACCTGTCCTCCGGTGGCACAGCTGCCCCGTTTGCAGCGATGGGGTTGCAGTGATTGCGGAGCCAGGGAGCAGAGACAGGGAAATCGTGACACAGGGGAGCCGGCTCCTCTCCTCCAGCCAAGGCAGGAGTGGTGGCTGTGCCCCAAAACACAGCCAACCCCCATGCCCTGCTCCTTCTCCTTCTCCCCACGCTCCAGTTCCCGACTCAGCCTTTTGTTGCCGTTCCTGCCTGCCACGCGGGAGGGGGAGGCATTGCAGAGCAAGGTGGGGCTGATTTATTGTTCATTGGCCCAGCGCTGGATTTTGAAGCAGCGTATTTGCTCCTGACTGCAAGCATTAATCATCCTGAAACAGCCCCGCTCTGGGTCGGAGCCAGGCGGGTTTCATTTGCAGTTGCAGCATGACAGGAAGATTTCCCCGGCTGGGGGAGAATTTGTTTTACGTTCGTTGCATGCTTCTGGCATTTATTGCTTAACCAAACCCCACTTGATGTGGTCATCTCAAAACGCTTTACAGCAGCAGCGTGCGAACTGGGGGGGACAGGAGAGGGAAACGGGGACATCTGAAGCGGGAATGTTTCCCAGCGGTCCGCAGATCCCTGTGGAGTTCACAGGGATGCAGGGGCAGGTTGTCAGGCTGCAGTGGGAGGGCACAGGAGGGTCCCCCAAACAAGCCATTTGTGCAGGGGATGGACAACGCCAAGTTCACGCTGCTCCTTCTTGGACAAAAGCGCTTTGTGTGCGGTGTGCGGGCGTTGGCATCACTGCAGGGGAAGGTCCTGCTGGAGGCTGTGTCCCTCTCGGCTGTCTTTCAGGATCCTGGAATCCCTGTACCATGTCAGCCTTGGCTGTGGCCTTGCTCTTGCAGTTAGTGGAGTTTGAGCCAAAGCACCATGGGGTTATCCCTCCTCCCCTCCTGTCCTGCCTCATTTTCTCCCCAGGAGCTGGTTGGGATGATTTCTGGGTACTGTTTACCACGTTGACCCTGACCAGGTTGGAGAAGCTGAGCTCCTCCATGTGCCCAGTTCCAGCTCGGGGATGTGGTTATGGCCAAATTACAAACCTCAAAGACTGGGTTGGGGAGTGAAATGTGGATTTTTGGAGCTGGCAGGCAGCCTGGCCAGAGGTGGGAGGGGGTAACATCTCCCTGGGCAGCATGGTCAGAGCCACCCAGGGGGGAAACAGCTTTGGGGTCCTCACCCTGGGCTTTAGAGCCCATGGTGGAGTGTGAGCATTGCTCCTGTCCCTGCACGCTGCCCTTCAGCACAGACTCACCTTCTGTCTCTCTGTCTGCAGGTGGCTGGAGATGCTGATAGTCTATCCAAGGACAAACAAGCAAAACCAGAAGAAGAAGAGGAAGGTAGAGCCCCCAACTCCCCAGGTAACCCCAGGGACACACACACTGTCACCCACTCCCTTGCCTGCCTCTCAAGGCTATGGCATTGCTCTGCTCCCAGGGAAGATCCCCCAAACCAGCCAGACCAGTGGGCTTCCATCCCTCTGATGCTGCCTGTGCAGAGGGCGAGAGCTGGGACGAGCCAGGGCAGCAGGATGGCGTGAATTAAATCCTGATCATCACTTCCCAGGGTCACAGGCTGCTGCTGCTTTCCTGGCTGCTTTGGGGCCCGTTTTGCACCTCCCGGGCACTGTCTTGCCCTGCATACGTTGTCCTAGGAGCGGCCGCAAAGCTGTGGGGGACCGGGGAGAGGTGCTGGCTCTTCACGGACCATTTTGGCTGAAACCGGATTAAATTCCATCAGGCTCCGGTTACCCCCTTTGAGATGACCCCAGAGATAATGGGAATGAAAGGAAAATACTAAAGGCCAGGGCCAGGCTGGGAGCTCTGGGGGCCGGAGCTGGGCTCTCCAGGGACCCGGCGGTGGCTTCGTGCTCACTTTGACTATAAATGGTAAAAAGCGGGGCCGGCCGTGACTCACTCGTTCCTGCCAGGCTCCCACGTGGCCGGAGTGGGGGAGAATCCCACAGATGGGGAACGTGACCCTGAGGCCACACTTGTCCCTTGCTGGGGCTGAGAACAGCCGCGACCCCGAGGCTGCCTGACCTCCAGGCGTGCATCCCACCGCCGTAGGGGTTTGGCTGGAAGGGCTCCTCCGACTGAGGCGAGCTGCGGCACTGGGGGACTGAAAACACCGTTGGGGGTCCCCTGAACCCTGGTTTTCAGATGCCCTTTGATGAAGTCTATGGGTGGGTTTTGTATGGTGTTTGAGTCAAGTTTCCACCACTCCACAGGATAAAAATGTTCTGGGCAATGGGAAAGAAACCTAGGGGGAAGATGATCCCTTTTTGCACCCCAGGCTGGAAGTCTGAGCCACCCCCTGCCAAGGGCTGGGATCGTCACAGCCCCTCGAATGCTGGCTCTGGTGATGCTCCATGGAAGATGCCTCCTCTCTCCATGGCCAGGGGCTGAGTTGCCGTTCCTCAAGGCCCAGGGAGGGGGCTGCCACATTTGGGGCACCCCAGCGAGCTGATGCAGCAGGACAGGGATGCTCATCCCATCCCTGGTGCAACACTAAAGCCAGGCTGGGTTCAGGAGGGGGACAGAGCGGAGACGAGAAGGGGCGCAGAGCCAGAAAAACATCATTCTGGGTTACATTTCATCACCATGGCAACTTCTTGGAAACCGTACAGGATCTGAGCTCCTGAGCACCAAATAAGGGAAGCGGCTGTGGGAAGGATGCTGGCTCCCTGCGGGCAGATGGGCTCCCCAAGTCCTTGGGGATGGGGTGAGCATGGAGCCTGGTGACACTTTTCCTTCTTCTTGGCTTGGGGCAGACCACCCTGCTCCCTCCAGTGCTTGCTACACTCCTTCCACTCTCTCCATCCCATTGCTCCTAGATCCGTGGCACCAGAAAAAGACTTAAATTCACTTTTGCAAAACCAGCGTCCATGTGGGACCTGCTGCCGGATGGATGCTGCGCCGTGTCGCTCACCATCAACCTGCAAAGGCAGAAGCAGCATCTTTCCTCTGTCTCCTAAATTGTGCTGATGCAGGCAGCTGGTCTGGGAAAGGAGAGAGGATGCTGGGGAGAAAACCAGCACCAAATCCCCCTCTGTGAAATGGCTTCTCCTCAAGTTGGCTGCTGTTCAGCTCACTCTCCGTGTGCCAGCAGAGAAAGCCTGATTTCTTTCCGAAGACGGACGCCGGCTAATCCGGCAGTAGATTGTGTCTGAGAGCTGCCCAAGGAGGGACGGACACCTTTGTGATTTAAAAAACCCATTTTAAACAGTGAATATTTCTGCTTTTTCTTGCTCCCACATACTTTTTCCTTCTCTGTGCTACAGCAGCAGCCAAGGGGGATCGGGGCCATTTTCAGCTCCCCCATCCTTTGCATCTTCTCCCTGCGGAATCACTGTGGTGGGAGCAACACGGGTGAAGTTGGGAATATAAAGCTGGGAATATAAAATCTCCAGCTGCAGATTTTTGGACAGGCATTGTGAGGTGCAATCCTAGGGCTTTGCAAGCAGGTTGTGGTCTTAGGGGGAAAAGGGCAGGTTTCTCCTGCAGCTTTGGCCATGCTCCGGCAGAGCACTGCAGGCAGCGGGAGAGACTGGGCTTGCCGCCTTTGCCTGCCTGCTCTCCCTGGGAAATGGAGACAGGATTGGGGGTTGAAACCTGGGATTTGAGGCGCTGGGCTCTGTTGCAGGACGGGTTTGCACAGGGGTGCGGCAGGCTCGGGTAAGCGGAGCGTGCCCAGACATACTCGATGCAGCTGGAGGCCGGTTTTGCTGATCTTGGTGCACACTCTGGAGCTGTTCATGCCGCTGAGCAGCAAAGGGTTAATTTCTCTGCTTGCTTGTAGGCTGCTTTTTGGCCCTTATATCTCTGCCTAATTAAATACATATCTACAGATATGTGTATATAGGAGTGTGTGTAAGGAATATATAAAGATACATTTCCTGAGCTGGCAATTAGCGTTGGGCTTTCAGATCAATTAATGGGAGTGGTTGAGGTTGGAAGGGCACTTAGAGATCGTCTGGTACGACCCCCTGCTCAAGCAGCATCCCCTCGAGCAGATGCCCGTGAACTCTGGATCGTTTACCTCCAACACTGCATTCTTTTAGAGTGAAATTTCCAAGCGTTTGTTTTTTTTTTTAATTGAGGTCATTTGCTGCTCGTTGTGGCTGTGCACAGAGCCAGGACCCGTTCCCTGGGAGATCTGCCAGCGGTTCCGGTGCAGCCCTACAAACACCACTTTGGAGGTGCAGGGCTAAAACCCACCGGTGGCTCTGACATGGGGGACATTGGCAGAGGGGATGCTCTTTGCAGCCCATGTCCCCAGCCCATGGCTGCCGGCTCGGGGGCTCCTGGATTCCCCCTGCTCCGTGGAAAGGGAACATGCAGCCAGGAAACTTAGAATCGTAGAATCATGGAATGGTTTGGGTTGGAAGGGACCTTAAAGATCATCCAGTTCCAACCCCCCTGCCATGGGCAGGGACACCTTCCACTAGACCAGGTTGCTCCAAGCCTCATCCAGCCTGGCCTTGGACACTTCCAGGGATGGGGCATCCACAGCTTCTCTGGGCAACCTGTTCCAGTTGCAAACTTCCCACAATCTGCAGCCTTTGGAGCGGATTTAATTGTCATTGGTTTATTGGTGGCTTTCAGGAAAATAATCTGCTCGTGCAAAAGCTTAACGCGACAACAGCAAATCATCTGCTAGCGAACCACGCCGAACCCGAGGCGAGCTGTGAAAGCGGGGCGTGCGCCGAACCTGGGCTGGCCGGGCCGCGGCCACCAAAATGCCACCATGATGGACTCCAGAGCCCCTCCTTAGCTAGGGGGGCATTGAGGATGATGGGTAGTGTTTAAAAATAACGTAAAGCTCGATGGGATGTTGTATTTCCTTTTGAAAGCAGCAGCCTGTTAGGTAACCAAAGCACCCAGGAGGGGTACAGCGCCGGTTGGGGTTTATTCTTTTTATCAGTGGCCCGTGGCAGACCGACTGTGGCAAACGGTGCGGCTGCTGGTGGCAGGGAATTCATGTTCCACTCCATCCTGCATCCTTGCGCTTGTTTCTTTTGATTTTTTTTTTTAAATTTGACGTTAGTTATAACACTGAGAAAATTCCGTCCTGGCAAATGGGACCTGGGAGAAAAGCCTGGTGTTGGGGCTGTGTTTGTGAAAGGCGGTGGCAGCCTGTGAGAAGGATTGGGGATGTCCAGAAGGAGCAGGGACATGCAGATTGACTGGGACATGCAGAGGGAAATGGGGGATGCTGTGTTTATTCCCATCACTCGGCAGAGGATGCGCTGTCACTCCAAACTGGGTTTTGGCAGGGGGGAGAGGACCATGTCCAGGTTCCCCATGAGTCAGGACCCAACACACTCGTTTCTCTGCGGGGTCTACAGCGTTGCACATGAATTTGGATGCATAGCTCCAGGGGTGAGCCTGGGACTTTTGGGAAGAGTTGCTATGCTGGAGCATAAGCAGAGACGTTTGTCAGCTCACCTTTGCTCGGGATCTTTTCCCAGCGGGATGTGTGGAGAGGTGTGGATGGTTTCAGGAGCCCTCCCCAGGGTGGGATGGTGAGGGTGGTTTCCTCTCTCACTGCGAGGGCAGCGATGGTCCCTTTGGCCAAGGAAGTCCTGACCTTTTGCTCCACCACACGGCCCTGGGGCAGGGTTTCCACCTGTGAGCGTGTCCCCTTGGGAATGCAGCAGAGACACATGATGAGGAGCCCTGTCCCTGTCCTCGTTGTACCAAGGCATGCATCGTGGGCATCACCCAAGCCGTGTGGGACCCACACCTTGGGTCATGGGGCTGGGGCACACCCCTCTAACTCTCCTGTCTCCCCTGTTTTCTTTAGGAGCCCGGTCCTGCTAAGATGGCTGTGACCAGCAGCAACATCCCCAGCGCGGAGAAGGTCCCTGCCACCAAGTCCACGCTTTGGCAGGAGGAAATGAGGGGCAAAGACCAAGTGGATGGAGGCAGCGGCATCAGCCCGGCGCAGAGCCCAATACAAGGCCAAGCTGGGGCTGCCAGCTCCCTGAAGGATCCTGTGCTGGACAGCAAGGAAGGTGAGGGATGGGGCTGCCAGCACTGGTGTGACACTGCCGTGACCCAGTTTGGACAGCTAAGCCAGCAAAAAAACCACTGTATAGGGAAAGGTTTTCCACGGGTTTGGTTCCTGGAGCATCCCAGCAAGGAGGGAAGGCAGCCTCCATCCCTGCTGTGTAGTGCAGGGCCCAATCCTGCCCCGGCATGGAGACAGGCCTCACAGGCGCTGTTGCCCCTGTGCTGGGGGAAAACAAGGGGGAAAGTGTCTTTTCTAGCCCCTCCACATCCCCACCTGGGGCACCCCAAGGGTGTGGGACCACACTGCACTCAGCCTGGCTGTGGGGCTGCCAAGCCCTGAGCACCGCTTCCTCCTCCAGGCCCTGCGTCAGCGCCCTGTTTACATTTGGTCTCCTCCACGAGTCCCTGGAAGGCGCCGAGGCTGCGGCATTGTTTTCCCTGGAACAATAGGGCTGGGGACTCTTCCTGCCGGGGCCGTGGACAGGTCCCACAGGCTGCGGTCGTTTCCTTTATCTGCCCACTCGGATGGGGGATGCTTTCTGCCTGCTCCCAGCTGCCAGGGCGAGTTGTCCATTGCCTCGCGCCCGCAGGGCTGTGGTTGATGCCAGGTGGGGAAGGATAGGGATGGAAATAGGTGCAGAGTGGTGACCGCAGCCATCCGTTTCTTGGCTTGAAGGTTTAGGTCTTTCAACCATGCAAGGGTTGGACTGGCATTTCCAGCTCCCTGCAGACTGACCCACCATCTCCATGGGCATGAAGGGGTGGTCAGGGTGGAAAAGCCAAGGGTTGCAAGAGGTGGCGCAGCGTGGTGCTGGAGCCTAGGCCATCTCTGCTCACGTTTCCTGCTCCCATCCTGCATAGAATCAGGGTGGTTTTGCTAAAAGCAGGACGTGGGCTTGAAACCCAGCGTGGTGACTTTTCTGTCCCTTAGACGAGAGCTCCATGAACGGAGACCGGATAGACTGTGGGCGGAAGACGCGTGTTGAGAGTGGGTACTTTTCCTTGGAGAAGACCAAGCAAGACTCAAAGCTGGAAGAGCAACAGCTGCCGCCCCCGCCGAGCCCACCCAGCCCCAGCACCCCGAACAACAGGTACAGTTATCCCAAATCGCCCTCGCAGGAGCATGCCCAGCCCTTTCCTTCCCCAGGTACCCGATCAGGCGACCGAATGATTCACAGCTTCTCTCTGAACTCCTTGGACTCGAAGAGCAGTTGCCCCATGCACAAGGACTCCAGCAGCAGAAATGTAGGAAGGGGAGCTGAAAAATCGGGGCGTCCCCTTTCTTTTAAAGCCAGCCGGCAGTACACCACCCTGGCCGACGTTCCCAAGGCCATTAGGATCAGTAATCGTGAGGCCTTCCAGGTGGAGAGGAAGCGGCTAGAGCGGAAAACCCGGGCCCGTAGCCCTGGGAGAGAAGAAGTGGCCCGGCTCTTTGGCAATGAGAGAAGGTAAGGGACGAGTGGCTAATCCCCTCCTTGCATGCTTGCAGCGGCAGCGAGCTGGGTCCCTGCTGCAGCCCCGGACGGAGCAGGCGGTGTTTGCTGGGTGAAACCCTCTTGTATCACAGTCCTCCTGGGTTTAAGGATGCCCGTCCACACCAACCAAGGGGTAGGATGTCCTTAGTAGTGCCAATGGGCAGGTGTCACCCTGCCTGGCTGCGCTGGGGACAGCCAGCTGAGGTGGATGATATTTGGTGGCTGTATTCGCAAGCCCACCCTTCCCATCCCCTCCCCGGCGTGGCACACGCTGGCAGCTGGCCCCATTAATTAGGTTAGCTCTCTAAACGGTGTTAGAGCCGGGCTCGTTACGCAACTGCCTAATGAGCTGAGAGAGGTTTCAAAATGTCACGGCATTAATCTGGGAGAGGCGAGGCGGGTGCAGTGCCGAGGCAGGGTGCAGCGGGCTGCAAAACAGCTTAGCGTGGAGGAGGATGGGGAGGGCGGCCGCATGCGCCCCTGCACCGGCGTGCTCGGTGCTCTCCGGGCGAGGCGAAGGACGGGCTCGACTTGCCCTGGGAGAGAAGCATTTGTGCTGTGAGGGCAGCAGAGCAAACCAGGAGACGGGCCCCGGGCGAGAGGGCCGCCTGCCAGTCTGATTTTCTTGCCCTGGTTTTCCTCTGGGCATGTTTCAGCAGGCGCTTCTCCTCCTGTTTCTTCCCAGCCCCTAAAGGACTGTTTTCCAGCCTGGCTTCTTCACGCTGGGAGCGGGTCTGGGGAGGGCAGAGCAGCTTTGTGCCAGTGCTACTGGTTAGGAGGAGGATGCCAAACCCAACCCAGCCTTGACAGCGAGTGCCAGACTGGGGATAAAGAAGAGCCTGGGTTTGGCTTTCCTTGCCTTGGGATTTGGGTGGGAGAAGGTCCACACAGGTCCCCTGACCACCCTGGCTGGGGACGAGGCTGAGGAAGGGCTGGTGACTGCTGGTTTGGAGGCTGAAGTGCTGCAGCGTGTTGGTCCAGGGGTGGACCAGATAGTGTCCCCGCTGGGTTTGCTTGTGGAGGATGCCCTGGCCAGGCCCTGCCCCAGTGTGAGAGGACAGCGTGTTCCTCCAGTGCTGACAGCCCCTTGCTCTAGCCCAGGGGGTATCCACAGTCCCTTGCTTGGTCCAGGGAGTGTCATGCAGCACTGGGGTCTGGCACTGAGCTGGGATGTGCCAGACGAGGGCAGGGAGGAGCAGGTTTACAAACAGATAACGATGCCCTGGGAGAGCATGCTGCTGCCAGAGACTGTCCTTTTTTAACGTCAGTCCCACTGATGGGTGCCTTTTCCCAGGGAAAGTGTTTTTCCCAGCCCAGCTCTTGGGGCTATTAACAGGTTTTGATTGCTTTATCAGTGTTGGCAAAAATTCCCCTAGATCAGCTCAGGGCCTTCATCAGAGCAGGACGGGTGTGGGGAGAGGAGTGAGCACTGCACCAGGCACAGAGGTCTTGCTGCCTGTGGGGCTGAGTCCAGTGCAGCGTTCGGAAGGGAGGTGATGGCAGAGAGCAGGGCGAGGGGTTTGGCCAGGGATCGCAGCCCATGGCACTGGAGGAGCATGTCCTGATCAGGACAGCTCAGCGGGCAGTGTGCAGGGACGAGCATGTTTGGTTTCTCCTCTGGTAACCTGGGAATTGGCCCATGGGATGGTGTGGGTGGAGAGGCTGTGTGTCCTGGAGCTTGGGTGGACTCGGCAGTGCACGGAGAGGCAATCCAGCCTCGCATCAGAGAATTAACATTTGCCAGCACCCTGCTCAGCTTGGCTTGGCTGCTTTTTAAACTTGAGTTTACTCAGTCCATATATCCCTCTCATTTTTCTCCTCCAAGCTCAGGCTGTGCTGTTTGAGGTGGAGCAAGTACAATAACTCGCTTCCATGCTGTGGGGTCAGCTTTTTCCCCTGGGTTTAACACCATTTGTAATAATCCCTCTTAGTAACCCACTAACACATCTGGGAACACTTCCCTGAAATCTCTTGCCTACATGCCAGCCCCATAGGTACCAGTTCAGATCAGCCTTTCATCTCTTGGAGCAGCCAGACGAACTTGCTCTGATTCTGATGGTATTTTCGGCTCTTCCTCCCGTTTTCCATTTACCCACCGTAAATCAGTGTGAGTGGAATGGCTGGAAAAGAAGTATTTTAAGTACCCAGTGCCTGAGTGACACACCTGTAGGCTTAGCTCCAGATAAAGCTGTTTTTCAGGCTTCTTATCCTGTTTCCTTGTAGTAAGATATATGACGTGACCGATGTCCAGGATTGTGCTGGAAGTTTTCCATGTTGACCATTTATACCTGACGCTGCCTCCACGCCCCACGCAGACATCTGAGCTCACAGCTGCTCAGAAACATGAATCAGAAAACAGGAGATAATCTCCAGGGTTTTTGGCATGCGTGGCGGAGCAGCGGAATGCGAGTTCCCTCTGCTGGCACGCGGCAGGATGGGGCTGCCGGCACCGCGCCGGGGGACCCGATCAGGCGGGAAAAGAGGGTCTGTGTCCAGAGAGGTCAAGCCGTGCCCCTGGTCTCCCATCTCAGACCCATCCTTGGGGCGAAAGAGAGAGGCAGCTCTTTGGAAACCCTGTGGATAAATCTTGAAACCTGTTTTACACACAGAATCAGGGCGAAGGCTGTAGGGACAACCTTGGGGGCTGGTCCCCAGATCCCAGCGGAGCTCTGCAGCTGCGGGGATAACCCTGGTACATCTCAGGAAGGTGTCAGCAGCTTTGGGAAGGAGACGCTGGGGCATCCTTGGGGTGCAGAGTCCCGGAGCCCCTTTCTCCGGGTGCGTGGCTGCAGGCTTACCCGCCTCCTGCAGCTCCCTGGGAGCACTGTGATTTCTGGTTGGCAAACTTGGCTTTCCTTGCACGCTTCCAGGGATGCAGCCTCTAAAACCACAGCTTTCCCTGTTGACCCCACGTTCTGCACACACTGACAAGAGTCTGCTGTGCTGGATCTGCTCTGGGAGCATGGTCAGGGGGCCGAGGAGTATTTCTAGCCTCGATAAGTAGCAGAGCTGCCTGAAAATGCCTAAAAGACTTGTCTTTCTCAAATTCCTTCTCTGGAGCTTCTTGAGATGTAAGAATCTGCTCTGAATGCCGCTTCTCCCTGTAGAGAGGAGCGCCTGCTCTCCCAAGTAAAGGTGGTTTTTTCTTGCATAACTAGCCTCTTCGTTTTTGTGAACCTTTGGGGGGAAATTCCTCTTCCTTTTCCTGACACTCGCTGTCCTTGCTGCTAAATAATGAACGAATCCAATAAAAACAAGCCCTTTCTTCCAATCAAAGAAAATCACTTTAACGATAGCTCGTGCTGGTCTTTATAGCTTTCCTTCCCACCGCACACACCCCTCCGCCTCACAGCCGAGATCTGCAGCTGGGGTTTAGTGGGCTGGAAAAGATTAACAGCCTGCATGGCCGAGGAACTCCTTGGGACGAGCTTTGTAGCGGAGAAAGCACTAAACGGCGCCGCAGCTTTTAAAACGCTCCTTCGTACCTGTCCGCAGCCTTGTTCTGGCAACCGAGCTGCTCTTCAGGGGGAGCAGCTCTCTCCTCGGCTCGGTGGGAAGGAAAGCCCTTCCTCTCCTGTCCCCCCTGTCCCAGGATCTCTAGCAGTAACCTCCCTCCGATGTTGAGCTAATGGGAAAAACCCACGATTCTTTCCTGTAATCCGGATATTAACCCTCGGGGCTGTGATTTGGTTGCAGTGATTTATTTTTCTCCTCCCTTTTTCAATGACGAATTACTGGAATGATTTTGATTTTGTTTTGTATGTAGATGCAGATATATAATTTCCTCTTCTGTTCATTCATTTTCCAGCCTTGTTTTCTTCCAGGTCTTGTTGCTCTCCACCTTCTCCTGCTGTGTTGCTGTGTGACGTGTCCGCCTTTACTTCGCCTGCTTCGCTACCATCTCATCTCAATCTCAAGCCGTAGAACAACCTGGCGGTGCAGCCCCTTTCATGAGAAATCAACCTGCTTTTGATTTTGTTTTACCTACTTTTGGTTGGGTGTTTTGGTTTGGTTTTTTTGTTCGTTTGTTTCTCCTGATTTATTTTAATTCAGGCCTCCACCTAACAGGGCACAGACAATGTTAATTCGTGGTCCTCTTACCCCCTCCTAAACTGAGACTCAGAGAAGGCTGGGCCAGTGTAAAAAGGGTTAAAAAACCGTCACTCCAAAGCAGTTCCCCCTCTGTGGGTGCACGGAGGACGTGGATTTACGCTCCACAGGTTGGCTTATGTGAACGGGCGTCTCGTGAGCAGAGCATCCCAGGGGGATTGGGAGCCCTGCACCAGCCTGGGATCTGCCCTCTCCCACTCTGCAAACTGGGAAGGCAGCAGGGGCTGACCAGATGTCCCGTAAGAACATCAGAGACGTTTGAATTGACAAAGCAAAGTCTTCCCCACCGATTTCATCCCTTCCTCTTTGGTTGCGGGCGTCAGTGCCTGGTCCTGGCAGCCTGGCTCTGAGCAGCAGTGCAGGGGGGGCCCTCAGCCCCCCGGCGGTGTGATGTGCTCAGACAGTTTGTCTCATTTATGGAATTTGGTGCAAATGTTGGTTGAAAACTGAACATCTCATGGTTTTTGAGTTCTTAACCTGCTGTTCCTTTTTGTGAGAAGTGTTAAAAATGAGGTTTTTTGGATAACCTGTTTCCCCTCATGTGGTTGCCATTGTGATTTTCATGCACGTTAGAGGCTCACACAGAGCAAGCAGCCCCGAGCTTAGACGCGGCGCACGGGGGTCCAAATTTTGTGTCAAAAACCCACCCGGATTGAGCTTTTCAAAATCGAGCTTTAAACCTCAACTGCTTGGAGCTCAGCTGCTGTGTGGTGGGTTATTGCTTCACAATCCCAGGTTGTGGTTAAAGACCTGAGGTTGATACCTGCCCAAACCAAACTTTACACCAGCAGGTCCTTTGAAAATTCCGGTATTTCCTCTCCTGTGGGTCAGTGAGCAGCTTTTCATGCTGAAACAGCGCTTTTAATTCCACCTAGAAAGGCCTGTTGCTTGCTTCTTCTTAGGAACATCCCATGTGGGTTTGGTCCAGAGTTGACTCCTGCTCCATCCACGTTTATTCATAGCTCTCCTCACCCTCAGAGACGTGTGCCACGGTGTGATGGGCCACCGAGGCGGTGTCCGAGAGCCCAGTGCTCCCTGCTGTCCATACGGGATTTGCAGACCAGTCTGAGGGGAGGGTAGAGCCCTGGGGTTGTGCAGGGGGTGCCCTGCTCTGCCTGCACCGGGTGCTCCTCACCTCATGCTGCTGCACCCTGCGAGCCAGACCCGTTGTCTGGAGGCACCTACAGACACTCCTCACTCAGTACAACCCCACAGACGTTTCCCACGTGGGGCTGAGGTTTTACAGGGTCTTTATTGAACACGTAGGGTGACCCGTAGGTACCTGTTACCTCTGCACCCCAGCTTGGTCCGATGTCTCTGCTCTGTGGCAGGAGGGTCATGGATAGCTGCAGTGCTAGAGGGGAAGGACAAAGCTGCTCAATAATCCCTGCTTCTCAGAGGGCTGTAAAATTTACAAGGAAAAAGTTATCGCTGATTTTGCAAGGGTTTTCGAGATATTTCGGAAGATACTATTTGTGGAGCTGAGTAATGTGAGTTTTTTTGGCTGTCGGTAAAACGGTGCGGGTCAGGTCGGGGCGTTTTTGCCCTGGATTTGTGCACGCTAGAGCTCGCAGAGAGACAGGGACCAAAACCCGGGTGTGCACGAACAGTGGGTCGAGCCATTCTGCAGCCTTAAATCTGGGGGATTGTACAGCTCAGCGCAGTTGCTGTTCTTGTGTTTAAGCCGGCTCTGGTTTCTCCTTTCTCTCTGTTTTCCAGGCGATCCCAGGTAATTGAAAAATTTGAGGCATTAGATATTGAGAACGCGGAGCACATGGAAACGAGCGTGTCGGCCGGGGCTGCCCTTTCCAGTGAGACGCGGCAGGGCAGGAGTGAGAAGAGGGTTTTCCCACGGAAACGGGTAAGCTGCTCGGCTGAGCGCTCGCCGTGGGGTTTAGAGGATGGCGCCTGGGATCCAGCAGCCTGGGATAGAGGATTTAGCGATAGGGTTTGTCTCTGGTTGGAGCAGGGGATCTGGAGTCAGAGGTAGGCTCAAAACTGCTCCGTGTGCTCAGTCTGTGCAGGTTTGCTACTGCTGCTCTGCTGCCTTGGCCCAGCTGCAGATCAGAGTGGAAAACCAGGCTGTGTTTTCTCCTTCCTCCCAAAGAGAGAGAAACTTCAGCTCTGGCATGGCAGGACACACCAGGATGGGGTGAAGTGACAAAAGAAAGAGGCAGTCTTGAGAGTCCCAGATACACTTAGATATATTGGGAACAAATTAATGCCTGAGAGGACAAAAAAAAATGTATTGCCAATGAAATGACACTTGTTCTGAGCCTGAGATGCCCCTTAAACACGCGGGTTTTTATGCCGGGAGCCAAGAGAGTGGGACTGGCTGTCCTAGTTCCTGCGCTGATCTGGGCTAATGCTGTTTACACAGGACTTCACCTGCGAAGGTGCTGCCGTGGGCTCCATCCTGGACGTGTCTGCGTCTCCTCTGTCCCCGCACCGCCGGGCAAAGTCACTGGACAGAAGGTCCACGGAGTCGTCTATGACGGTGAGCCACCGGGCCATGTCCTCTGCCCTGGGGGGAGGACGTGGGAGGCCCTTCCCGGGCAGGTCCTTGAAAACTGGACTGTCTGCTGCTTTCCCCATAGCCAGCACGTAGGACGTAGGATCTGGTTGGTTTCGGAGCAGGCTTCAGTGACTTGGCGTCACCCTTCACACGTGGCATGTTAAGGAGAGCCTGACACATGTCCTGGTTTTCCACTGCCGCTTCCTTGGTGTTTATGGGGTGCAAGTGGGTGTGAGTGGGACGAAGGCTGCGAGGAAGGGCTGAACCTGCCCTCCTGAGCATTCCTTCCTCTGCATATTTCAAATGCTCACCAGACCTGGAGGCAAACAGGACAGAACAAACACAAAACGCTGTCCTCTCACACACCACCCTTCTGCAGGAACAAAATAAATGCGCTTGCTAACCTCTCCAAAAGATTACAGAGCCTTTGTAAATATGGGCTGCATTTTTGGTGGATGGACAGCTTCTATTCAAGGACTTCTCAGAAAAATGCAGTAGCTTAGTGTTCCTGTATCTTTTCAGGTAGTCTTGAACAGCCGCAAGAGTGATTTTTAAATTCTTGGTGGTAATAAAAAGGTGCGAGAAGTGCACGTTAAGTGGCAACGCACATCATCTAGCGAAGGCGAGAAGATCATGCAGTCAGTGGGAAGAAAACCTTTTCCTTGCATTAAATACGCCTTTGTTGTGCCACTCCTGCTATAAAAGTAACAGCACAGAAAAACCTGCATGCCTGCTGGCTTGCGGCCGTGTCGCAAGACTCTCCCCTGCCCGTCGGGTTCACCGTGTCAGAGCAGATCGGTTATCCGTCGGGATAAAACCGAGGGAGAGTTCATCCCTCGTTAGGCTGGGTGGGATCCAGCAGAGCTGTGGCTCGCGCTGCATGGGTATCTCTTCCATCCAGTGCTTCGTCTGCTTTTGGTTCCTAACGTCTATGCCTCTCGGTGGCAGCGGGTCCCAACCTTCTCATGCTGCAGCTTTGCAGCTTCAGGCAAAGCCTGTGCTCTCCTGCCTGCCCCAGCACTCAGAGGAAAGGGGTTTCCATAGGGGAGTGGGATCTGCAGGAGAAACCTTCCCGCTCCGTGTGCTTCTGTAGCGTCTGGCTGCAGCCCAGTCTGAAACATGTGCTCTTAGCAGCATCTCTCCTCTCTGCCTGCTTAGATTTTAAGGGAACTAAGAAGGGTAGTAAAGTAGT